CTGAATTTACTCTAAGAGGCATTTAATGAAACTAAATAATCTATATGTTAATTTAAAACAAAATAAATACAGATTCTGATCCTGCACATATTCAAGACTCTTGTAGCTTTATTTACAAACCTAAATGTGATAAGTCAATAGTTATGTGGGAAATTTACATTTGAAAAAAGTAAAAAGACCTTTGATCATGTAGTACTATATGGCCCAGTGTTCAGGCATGAAACTGGTCTGCACATAAAAACTACAAATTTTAAATATTAACTTTAAGGCTTTTAGACGTGGAGGCGGCTCTTTGTGATTGAGCATAAGAGTCGATATCCGGCCACTAGATGGCTGCAGAGTGTAAAATCTGCAGAGAAACAGGTCCTAATTTCTGGACGTTCTAGTACCAGGAAGCCTTGTGCTGTTAGTTTACAGTGGATGGCGTTATGAGAGTGGCTGTCCCAGCACGAAGCCCGAATGACCTAAAAGCAACAAATTTTATTTCTCGCTCAAATTAAAGAAACATTGGATATCTATAACTTTTTCTTTCTGACATCTCTTCCTGTTTAAAGGGAGTTCTCCCTTCCCACTATTGCCAAGTGCTCCCTTATACAGGACTGTGTGATTGCTGGGGTTTCCTCTCTAATACTGTTGTGTCTGTACCTTAAAATATAAAGCACCTTGAGGTGATTGTCACTGTGAATTGGTGCTGTTTAAATAAAACAAAACTGAATCGAATGTGGTCCATGAACTACATCAATTTGAAACCCTTCAGATAGACACAGCCACTGAAAGTCAGGGAAATGTCTGACAGGAGTCAGTTATTTGGAGCTACATTACAATCTGACAATAACCTTTGATGGCATGTTCTGGTGCAATAACAATAAAACATCGTCAGCCTATTCCAGCCACACCTTTGCACATTATGAACAGTGTTTCACAACATCAAAGTATTTGAGCAAACAGAGGCAGAAAAGAGAGTGACATATTTTCCTTCCTTTAAGTCTTGTTGTAGAGCATTTAGAAGTGGAAACATGACCTGTGAGCACTTGGCTTTAAAAAGCTCAGGCATCGGTCTCAAACTCATGTATATAACCCACGATGTGCACACGGTGTGAGAGAAACAGACCGAGCGGCTCCTTTAAGAGAGGCAGCCCCCTCCTTCACCCCCCTCCTCCTTCTCCCCTGAGGCGTCTACTCTACTTCTCCACAGTCCCTCCCCCCACCCTGCAGCAGCAGGCGCATGCTTTTTTTCGTGACTGCAGGATACACACGCAGCAACGCATTGGTGGTTCAGTGGTAGAATTCTCGCCTGCCACGCGGGAGGCCCGGGTTCGATTCCCGGCCAATGCAGTTCATTTTAATTTTTTCCCTTCAGCCCTGATACTGCCAAAATTACTGCCAGAAGTCTGTCGTGAACTTTAAAATACACAGCTGAATGTAAAGTTACAAAGCTTAAAATTTTCACAAGTAACACATGCCCCTCCCCTCTGGACACACGATATATGTCCATGAAATAATTAAACTACTCTGTCTGTCAAGGTTCTCAGTCATCCAGGTCATCGTAGTCTAAGGAGCTTGGAAAGAAAAGCGTCTGGACTTCTTTAAGTTGCTTGAAGAAGTTTCACCTCTCATCCGAGAAGCTTCTTCAGTTCAAAGGTCAAATGGTGGAGAGTCCCAGATCAAACTACTCCCACACGTTTGCGAGCTTTTCTGCAGCCACTGCTATTGTTATCTTACCTACTTGCAACATGTGAAACTCACTAATCTGCTTTCTAACAGTACATGTTTTGATCGTCACCGGTGAGTGGCTAAAGACTTAAAGCACTTTGACATCAGGTGATTCTTTGTACCATACTGTTTTGGATACACCGTTTTTTAAAGGTATTAAGAAATAACTTATATGGGCTCCAACAAACGACCACCTTAAGAATAGATAATAGATAACATAAAAATAACTAGCAGCTTTCATCATATTAGATTAAAATATTGGGAATGTCTGTTACAGTTTCCCTACAAGATAAAATCACTTTCTACATTTTAATAACTAACTAAAAACTACCATTAGGACGCTTCCTATCAGCCTCACTGGATATATAATAATTAACTATACATCAGATAACAACCATGTGTATTTATACAAGACTAAAGGCTCAGCCTGC